TAATTGAATCATAGGTTTGGATGAGACTGCAAGGGTCATCCAATCCAACCCCCTGCCATGTAGGAACACAGAATCGTAGCAACCCCAACAAATGGGCATCCAACCTCTTCTTTAAAACCTACAGAGAAAGAAACTCACCATATTCTGGGCCCTTCTACACAGGTCTAAAACCTTCTACATGGGATTAACCTGAGGTAACCAAATGATGCTCCAGGTTAACCTGGAGTGATTTGATTTCCCAGTTTACTCTGGTTTAATTTGATACCTGCAAAGATCTGGACCTTAAAGATAAGGTCTGGATCTTCGCAGTTGCTGGACCTGTGGGAATTTACTCCCAGGACTGCTTCTGCAAGCCCCACAGCCAGGCATTCTCATGGTGGTCCACGAGAAGGCCTGACTGGTGCATTATTTAAACTGTTATGTTTATTCATATCATGATCTGATTACCACACTCAATATATCCCATATGCATGGGGGTATTGGGGTAACGATACAAAAGGTTTGCTAGGGTAGACCCTCTTTCAATCAGACTCAGCCCCCCCCCCCCCCCCCCCCCGAATCAAAATCCTGGCTACGGGCCTGCCCACAGCCATCCTGGTTGTTTGGGCTCCTGGAGCCTGAAGCAGTGGGATGGTGCCCCTCCAGCCACCCTCGCCAGCAGCACAGGCCCCTCCAAAGAGTACTCCTGATGCACAAAAATGATGCGTCAGGAGGTGGGGGTAGAGGAGGCATCTAGCCACCCCCTGAAGGAAAGCCTGGCATTTGGCTTGGTACAGAAACCCAGGGGAAACTGGGAAAATATAATTTGTTCAATAAACACAATATAAAAGTGGTGGTTCTGTTAATACTTTAGAATGGTTTTATGTGTTTAGGAGTTGAAGGTGGAGGGTCCATTTCTGCTTTTCATCATCTTTTCAAACCAATTAAACACATAAAAGTGTATTGAAATATTCTAAAGTTATTGTGCTCCCCAAAATGAACAAATCCATGATAAAATCCACACTGAACTAGAGTTTGAAGGGGGTATCGAGTCTCATTCTCTGCTCAATGCAGGATCTCCAGCTGAAACATCTGCAGCTGGTAACTGTCCAGCATCATTTTGAAGATATTCCAGAGAAAGAGGCTTCACCAGTGCTCTAGGTATATGGTTTCATTGTTAAACTATGTTTTTTGTTGTCTTTAATATTATTTTAAGGTGGAACTCCTTATCTTTTAATATATTATAAAATTTAAAAAATATTCTGATATATGAATTTTCACATATGTAATATGACAGATGGTTTCAGAAAAAGTCTCTGTTTTTTATACAATGTATCTTCCTTGATGAACTCTCCAAACAGATTTCATATAGCTGTCAGGAAAACCTGTTGCTTTCTGAGACATATGGTTTATTCAGCTCTAAGTCAAAATTTATTTAGCAATGTGTACTGTTGTTCTGAAAAGGAAATAAATATACTTTCTCAAAAACCACCAGGCTGTTGTTTAACACTGCAGTGCCTACATACATCAATCTAAAAGAGAAAAATGTATACATAGTAAAATAAGTGACTGCTTTATATTGGATAGTGGATATTGGATAGTCGTGACATACATATGAACAACTGAAATTTACATTTGAATACTAATTTTTGTTGTTGCAAAGAGAAAACTTCACAAGTTCTCCTATACAAAGATCACATCCCTTGGAGGACTCACTTTTCTTTAGTGAGGCCCCCTCCATGCTCATTTAGTGACTGGTGGAGTATCAGAGTTGTTAGAGAACCATCTGACTATCTTCCTATGGTCAGAAACAAAAGGATAAATACATCTTTCGTATTTTGTATATAACTATAGGGAATATCCTAATGCTTTTGCAACCCCGTTTTTCCACCAACCATTGAATGGCCATGGAGGAGGCAGTTTGAGGGTGAGTTAGTTCATCCTGAGTGTAACTTGACAATTGGTTTCCTAATCTACAACCTCAGCTATGTCATAGTCTGCTTAAGAACTGGTGACAATCGACAAAAACTTACTGATATTACAGCCTAGCATACCTTCCCATTGTTTTTCCTAATCTTTCCTGGATTATGTATGAGCCACATTAATTAAAGGCAATGTTACTAGTGAACTTCAGGAGTCCATGGACCATCCTAGAAGTGAAGGTGCATAGATTGAGAGGAAGAAAATGATTGTGAGCAGCAATCAGGTGAGAGATGGTGGCAGATACTTCCGTTATGATGACTTGAAGTTGGAAAGAAAACAAACCTTTAGGAAGGCAAGAGGATGAGAACTGATAGCCTGGAATGTGAACCCTGAAAAACAAAATATTGAACATATGACTAACAATTGAGAAATGATTTGATGATAGAAGTGAGAGTGTACAGTCAAATGGATAAAAGAGAAGTTGAAGCCAAATCAAGAAAGAAAGAAAAGATGGAAGAAAGAACAGAGACATGGTTTTTTAAAATATGCTTTTATATAGTGGTGCTAGCCAGCATGCAGTAAGGATTTGGCCAAGGGCACTTCCACACAGTGGCAAAATGTGGGTAAAAAGTGGGTTAAAAAGTAGGTTTAAAAATTCTGGGACCTGATAGCAAGTCCAGACACAGACCTGCCAGTCTCCAGAAATGCTCCCCTGCCAGTCTCACACTTTCCTCTCTAGCAGATGGGGGACATCCGGTGCAAGTTTTTAAAAAAAATATCTTCAAGATGTGCTGGACCTCATTTGTGCTCATGTGGAGATCTAAATATACACTCTCTCTCTTTACCCAACTGTAAATTCAAACTCTGTTTAATATTATAATTGCTTTCCAACTCTGCTTCTGTTTAGTCCCCTGTGTGTCCGTGGCTCCATTTTTTGACAGCATGATCAGCTGTTTCGGGCTTTTAAAATGTGCACGTGTGCTGGAGCAGTCCATACATGGGGATCAGAAGGGTGTTGCATGTTTTCCATGATTTCAGGGATATACATTCATGTTATGATGCACATTTTTGGCTAGAATCGGGTTTTAACACACCCTTTAAATATGTGCTTTCCAGCTGTTAGCCTGATTCTGCCTGCACTTTCACAAAATGTCATTTAGTCACACACACAACTTTTATTCCATTTTCTTCCAGGTTTTAGTGCATGTGTAGAAGGACCCTTAGAGGGTTTGAACCTTACAGTTACGATTCAAGATAAGTTTCCATGTTAAGAATGCTGGTACTGAATTTGTGTGTTTATTTTGCAGCTGTTTTTCATAGATGCTGTAGTTTTATCTCTCAGTTCTGTTACCATCTCAAAGCTTAGTCTACAGATGGACCTTTTATCTAAACAAATTGTGCAGGGAGTCAATTATGGAATGAAATTGTGGTTTTCTAACACACACAGCTTTAGATAGGACTACCTTTTGACTGAATGCTTCTGATCCTAGAATGAGTTACTTGAAGGAAATCTTTGAGGAGCATACCAACATGCTGTGAAGAAGTCCTTTGTGAATCACACCTTGCACTATGCAGAAGAAAAAAAGTGGTGGGATATAGGACAGTATAATAGACTGAGCTCTAGAATTTGTTGTAGTAAGGTATTCACTTGGAGTTCGCCGAAGTACTGCAATCTCTGTTGTTTCATTCTAGTTTGCTAAATTCAGTACAGGTATTCTGAAACTTGCCTTTATTATACAGTTGCACAGGCAAACTTTGACAAAGTAACTCCTTTGATAGTCTGATCTAGCTTGTGTGAGTTTGCTTTGAATTCATTATGTAGCACATAAGAACAGACGAGAGAAAGAGAGAGAGAGGAAAACAGCTAACTCCAGCATGTTAACAAAGGATATAAATTTGGTCACCAAAATGAAAATCACAAGAAAAGCAGAGGCTGGTAACAAAAAATCTCCTTAAAGCATTTGGAAGATATGTTTAGGATGTCTCTAGAAGAGTAACAAAGATGTTTGTTCACCTATGGAAAACTTGGCTAACCTTTCATTTCATGTATCGCTACTGTTAGTTTTGAAGATAAAGTATAAAGAAATCTTCTACTGATATTGACTTTGAGTGTGTTTAGCACATAGGGGGCTTTGGAAAGTTAAAAACCACCTGCATGTGTGCTAAATATGCACATACTTGTGTTACAAAATGATGGCTTTCTGCATTTTCTTGCATGAGGAAATGTATGTTTCTCTGTAAGAAAGATGGGGAAAATCTAAGTCTAAAGCTTCTCTTTTAGGGGCAATTTTTATTTTATTTTATTTTATTTAGGGACAAAATGCTATCCCTATTGGATTAAAAATGTAGTTCGTGCCACATATGTGGGTGGAAAACTTAATCTCATTTGTAGGGTGGTGGTGGCCACACAGCTCAGCTATGCCAATTTGGTGTCAGCATGGCTGGGCATGGTCATTGCTACCCTTCCCTCCCTACCCTAGCGTTTTACCCGGACAACAAAGGAAAACCCTGTTTAGAATTGTAGAAAGCTTTCCTGTTATCCTACAAAGCTGAGAGAAATAGGAAAACAATCAGGGTGGGTTTCTAACCCAGGTGAAGATGTCACAGACTGAAAGAAAATCGGGGGTTAGAAAAAGAGAAACAAGTGAGAAAGAAAAGTTGAAGAGTGAAGAGCAATTGCATTGCAGAAGACTCAAACATAACTGCTTTAATTTTCACTAGTCTGTCATGGATAGTTTGGAGACAGCTGTTTCTATCATATCTATATGCTTTCCTGCTTGCATGAGTTCATGGATTAGAGCAATTGATCTTTATGTAATCACTAGCATTTTTGAATCAGTAATAATAATCACGAAAAGTTTTAATTCCATGTTATTTTAGATTAAGATAATGTCTTAGATGCAGATATATTTCTCGCTAGTATTATAACCATTCTGGATATGATTTGACTTACAAAACTATTTTTTTCTGTTGGGAAAATGAGAAAGGGCATGTTGAAATTTCTCTAATAGTTTTACATGCTTAAATGACTTCTTTTTTTCAGGCATATAGTAACATCTCTTTTCTCCATGTTCTTCTCCTCCTGTTTGGGCATACAGGTTGTCACCAGCCAGCCTCCCTTTGCAACCTCAGTATGATATGGATCCTAATAGTTCTGAAGAGTTTTATCAGGCTGTACATCATGCAGAACAAACCTTCAGGAAGATGGAGAGTTACTTGAAACAACAGCAACTCTGTGATGTTATTTTGATTGCTGGAAACCGTAAAATACCTGCACATAGGTGGGTGCTTAGTTACAGTGTTTATGTTAATGAAATAATATCTAGATTATGTTGGCATTCTGTAAATAAATTGTGATTGTGTCACAGTCTGACAGGCATGTGTTGGTTAAAAATGTACTGTTATCACTTAAATAATATTTTGTTGATACTATGTGTGAGTGTGTGTGTGTGTATGTATGTATGTTAAAAATGTATAAAGATCATTTTCTCTTTAGTATGCCTTTTCCACAGACCTCAGAAAGTGTTCTCAATGTGATTTGCAATGGTTAGAATAAACAGCAAATTATAGCCCCATGTGCTATAGTGGTTTGAGTGTTGGATTAGGACACTGGGAGTCCAGACTTTGCATGACTACGCAGCCATGGGAAACTCCTGGTTAATCAGGCCACACTCTCTCAGTCTAAGAAAAAGGCAATGGGAAACATCTTCAAATAAATCTTGCCAGAAAACTCAATGCCAGTATCACTTGTTGCTGAAGGCAATTTAAAGGCACATTCCAACAAAACATTTTTTGAAATCCATCTGAAAAACATGATGAAAAAATAACATAGCACTAATTAAAGCCTCTTTTTTTCGGCAGGCCTTTCTTAGGGCTTGCATTTTGTCTGCTGCTGAAAGGATAAAGTAGGAAGTCAACATCACCTCTCCTGGTGTGCATCTACACCACATGTGTCAAACTCAAGGTCTGTGAGCAGTATATGGCCCACTATGTCATTTTATGTGGCACTTTAGATTCTGAGCTACAACTTGTATATTCTTCCTCATTAAGACATCATCAGGAGTTGCTATACAGTAACATCTGGAAAGCCACAGTTTGTTCTTTTTAGTCAGGATAGTGGGTTTTGAATTTAAATACAAGGTTTGAGGATATGATGTCTGACTTTAACCTTTCTCCAACCTCAAAGCCACAAGCACTGCTCGCATTACCCCCAGGCCACATGGCAGACAATCAAAAGTGATGGGAGTTGTTATTCAATAAGATTTGAGGATCCAAATTAGGTAAAAACTAAAGAGCATAGATCTCTCTCTCTCTCTCTCTC